AGCAGATTGTGAATGTTTATGACAGCTTCCTCTTGAGATCATCCACAAGATATGACTCCTTCTCCTTGAGGGTGTTGTAGAAGATGTCTTTGGCTGCATGTCCTCCAGCTTTCAGGGGACCACTATAGAGTGTCCTCATCTTCTCCTGAGTGATTGGGATAGCCCTGATTGCATCATAATCTTGCTGTTGGATTACACGTTCTTTCAGGAGATTATCCAAGATTGGTCCTATATTGCTCACTCTCTCGATCAGATCACACTGGTGTTTATCCACAAAGTGCTCCCCTGAGGGCAGAAGGGGGGGGTAAATTACATTTATAATATCTGATTATTGTGATATTGAGATGTTTATTTAATGGAAATGCCATACAATATAGCCAAATGCAAGCTCCCTGATAATCCCCCTATGGCTAGCTACCACCTTATTTAGGTTTCTGTAGTTAAGTGAGAGCAGTTGGTCAATATTCAGTAAAGAGAGGCTCTCTTTGATTCACAGGAAAAAATAACACATTGGATGCAATAAAGTGTTTTTGCACTAGAATTATGAACTACTCAGTCCCATTTTATCTTTTCTCTACCATTTGCTGCCTTGCTGTATTCAGATATTCAGGGAATTGTTTTCCCTCTGAATACTGAACTGCTAATTAATAAAACATATTTATTATGTATAGTGGTTAAAATGTACTTTGGCCAAGCAGATTTCTGAACGACTTGCCAAGTGAAGTGAGTGTAATATATGTAATATCTTAGGAAATACTTTATGTCATTTGATGCCACTGTCATTCTGACATTTTGATTCAATGGTAACCCACCACAATGTATTCACAGGAATGTGATTATCCACTCAGAGGTTACATTTAAAAGTACCTTACTTTAACTACCTTAAATACATTATTATTGTTATTATTAATTTATGATAATAATTCATCATGTGATAAAATATATATTTTTAATATAATAATCTCGGCTCTGAAAGAAGCAGAAGAGGTTTTAACTTTTTTTCCCGAAGACTGGCATTTTCCATCATCAGCTCAATGGATTGCTCTGGGTAAAACTAGCTAGCTACTATCAAGAAAAGACTGCTCACCTTCTCTTTCAGCTGAGAGCTGGGTAGGACTAGGCAGAACTGAATGTTGATTAAATATAGTCTATAAGTATTGATTCAACTTTGGCTAAATAAACTAAATTTAATAACTGTAAGTAAGTGGATAATAATGATATTGTTGTATTATAGTTAGCTTGAGACTGGCTTCAACATTATATTAAGGTTTTCATGGGCAAAAAATTGTCGCCCTTTGTTGTCCCTTTCAGCATTTTTCTGTTTCTGGCACCCTGATTTTGGTTTTCAGTTTGACTTTGATTTTGTACAAACAGCACCAGACGGGTGCTCTACAGACAGGCCGAGCATGGACTAAATGTCTTAAGTGCTACATGAGCGAGGATTAATCTGCAAATGAGAGCCGTACAGGGTGAAAACCTATACAAAATAGATCTACACATACATGCATCAGGAGCAGGTCAGTAATGATTTCTCTCCAACCGCTGACCTTATTTCTGAAAGCAGCAAGTCATTGTTGTCCGTGCTGTTGCTGATAAAAAGCTTGAAAGGTCCATGTCTCAGGTGGTATGTGCAGCTGTGGCTTCAAGGTTGTTCAACAGTCTACATTGTGGTATAAGCAGCAGTACGGACCAGACTGACTTTCCAGACTAATCCTGTATGTCAATGCAGCGCTGCTGCGCCCTTGTCCGCCTTGCAAGATAGGGATTCGCATTGAGCACACAGAAACTTCCACTGTCAGCAGGTAGAATGTGAAAACGGATCAGCCGTCAAACACAGGAAAATTCGTGCCACAGTGGAGAACGCCCTCAAAACCCGGACTGTAGGAAAAAGTAGAAGAAACAATATTTACGGAGGTGACTTTAATTTGGCCAGATGTCAGTTTGTTGAGCCTAGGCTGAGGAGTTCCTCAAATCACGGAATAACAATGTCTATTAAAGAGACAGCAGAGAATATAGCCACAGCACACACACAGTTTATATAAAATATTAGGAACTTCTTCCTTGATGCTGTTTCTCACTTCCCTTTAGTTCAAACGCAAATCTCTGCCGCTCAAAGGCCTAAAAAATTGGACTTCTCTACTCATCTGATCTGCATTTCTTTTCATTTTTAGTTTAAAGCTTTTAGCTGATTTCCCCAGGGTGGACTTCATAAAAGACAACTCGTCAGTCCCTGTGACTGTACTGCTCCTGATGTGTGTAAGTTGTGCAGTAAGGCTTTCAACATGACTCTGCATCAATTGGTCACCAAAGGACAAAGACTTCAACATTTACTGGCACCGGGCCATCGAGGGATTTCTGACTGAGTGGGGCGGTGAATGTGTTCCTCTTACTTTCAGAGAATGAGAAACGGATTCCAGGACCCAGCCGTTCTCTGTGTTCAGATCATGAATTAAATAAGCTGCTGAGGCGTGACACATTCCTCTGAACACCTCCACAGGAAACTCATCCTGAGGCCGACTGCAGCTGAGCGCCTCACACTCAGACTGCGGTCTGGGAGTTGGAAGAGGCAAAGGTCATTTTAGGTTATTTTTATTTTGCGGGCGGCAGTAGCTTTTGGAGTGGAATTGCTAATAAGCAGTACTTACTTGTTTGTCTGTAAATACAGTCAACTGTGACCATCTCGGCCTATCCCTTTTTTGGACCTGCATGATTTGTTCCGCCATGTTCTTTTGAGTGAAATGGAAAAATATCATTTTGCAAGGTCACAGTTAGTTGTTGCTCAGGGTTTATCTGTAACAGGTTTAAGTGTGTAACTTCCATACCTCTATACTGAAAACAGAAAACTGCTGGAATTTTCCCCAGTTTACTGAACAAATGTTCGTATATGAGTTTTTAAACACTGCCTTAGGACTCAGTCGCCCAAACATGCACATCAAAATCTGCACTCTGTGGCGTTGGTTGGGCAGCAATGAAGTTTAATGGAAAACAAATGTCACACTGTACTGAAGACAGGGATAAAAGCTTCCACAAATTCATCACTTCAGGGCTGGTTTGATGAAAACATAAATTGCCTTTCTTGAGGTCCACACACAGATCCCGTAGTGTTTGATTCGAGGAATAAAAAGAGTCTTACTCGTCCAGGGAAGTCGAACTGACAGGCGGGGGCGTTTTGAGGCTCATGAAGTTGAAGCCACGGTGGGCCGGCAGCGGCCTCTTTCTTAGCCGCTGACTCCCCGGGCGAGTCAAACCCTGCAAGCATGCTGCTCTTCCCGGCCCCGTCTAGGACCTAGGACCAGGACCTGGGACGTTCCCCACGCTCTTCTTCCTCCTGCAGCAGAGAACAAAGACGATCACACGTCCAGCAAATGGTTTCAGAAAAATGCAGACGTGGAGGCAAAAATTAAAAAACGGCCCAGTAATTGGTTTATTCAACACTGAATGGGAGTTATGTGGCTCAGTTTTTAAGACTAGTGAGGTTATATAATTAATAGTGTAAATGTTTTGACTGTACATTATTCCTATCCAACAAAATCATAATCTGAACATCAATGGAACATAAAGTTTGGGTTGGGGTCTGAAATTCAAAATTCACCATCATTCCGCGGATGAATGCCTCTTGTCTTGTGTGCTTTTTTTTGGTTTTTGTTAGTTTGTATTTTGTATTTGTGGTGGGTACATTGCAACGTTGAGATCGTTTTTGTGTAGTGGCAATGCCGTAGGAGAGTATGGGTTTGCGGATCGGGGCTCTGGTTGGCTCCTCTTGGCGAAATAATAAGGTACGTGGGACGGGCGGTGAGTCTAGAAGTTAAGCAATCGGGATATGGCTTACGAGTTTGGAGTGCATGGGAGCGGTGGTGTGGCGTGGGGTGGTTTATGAGTTGAGTGTGTTGTTTGGAGTGTAAGAGCTTTTTTAATATTTATGTTCATTGGGATTTGTGTGTGGATTTGGATGAGCTAATTTGTGAAACCCGTTGTTACTCCAGAGAACTGCCGACGTGCATGAGAGTGTTGGTTGGGAAGTTTGGGGGGCATTTCGGTGTGACGTTGTGATACAGATGTTTGATCTTCTAGTGTTCCGGGTTTTTAGGGATCTGATTCGCTCGCAGCAACTCTACGTTGCTTGGTGATGATTATGAAGATAGAATGTTGTAGCGGTCTTGGTGTGGACACTGTAAGGTGGCGCGCTATGTCTGTAAGATTAAATTATATAGTCCTCTACCAAGTCAATATGTAATATTGTTGGCTACTTGGCGCGTCCCCGCTCAGCACTGGTAGGCATTTAGCTCGATAGAGACTGATTCTGTGTATATGGTTATAATCTGTCTTATTCGTTCCTGTGTTAAATTGCATGCCTTGCGCTCTCTATGTGTATCAGTCTGGCTTCATGTTTTCTTGTAAACCTAGATGACTTGGACCGTAGAGATTGTCGATCGGGTTGTATATGTGTTCTTACGTTATATCGTTGTGTATTTCGGATCGGGATTGGTAGGTATATAACAGCGGTTTCGCGCGTGTAGAATGTGATGGTCTGTTTTAGACTTGGTAGAACACCTTTCCAGGTAACCACAGATTTTCAGGTGACTGCCATTGACTTGAACATGGACATGTAAAGAAAAGTGAATGCATTTTTTTAGTTGGTGCTGAAATAACGAGTAAATAATGGTCGGGTTATTTGATTAGTTGATCACCACTATGATTGATAGATTTTTGGTTGTGATAGGTTGCGGTTCTGTAGGGTCGATCTCTGGTTGTGGGCGCTGTGTTTCATAAGTGAATGTTGTTATTGTGTTTCTGGCTATTTGCATGTACCAGTTTGTAGATGGGTTTGCGGGCAGATGTTGTTATTGTGTGTGGTCAGACAAGTGTTGAGGAAGCGTCGGTCGCGGCGGCGTGCCTGTAGTGCTCATTATGGGAATTTTCTCGCGGGCGTTCGGTGTAGATAATGTCAACGATTTGCTCGTAGCGTGGTGTTTATGAAGCAACCAGGATGAGGTGTAGCGCGCTTTTTGCTCGTTGAAGTTATACGTCAGTGTGTATCTTCAAATGTTGTTAGTTTTAATCACTTCATTTATTAGCTCATCATAAGATCAAACTGAAATGGAGCGAAGCAACGTGGTGCCGTCCCCCCTGGGGTGATTGATGGAGTCTGTTGGGGTGTCTTTGAAAGGCATCTTTAATAATGTCAGGGAGAAAATGAGACAGCTTCAAAGACCTCTAGACGGGAGAACCATGTGAGTTATGTTAAGGGTTTAAACTGTAAGATGAGGCTAGTCTTCTATTGGATCCTCTTTGTTTACTGGCAGGGTATTTGTATAGGTTTTAGATATGAGTGTCGATGAGATAGAGTTACAGAGAAGAGTAGTACTTGGTCTGGTGCTGATGTGTCGCTGCCATTCCTGGAGGAAGAGCTATTGCGCTCACTCATAGTAAAGGTTATCAGACTGAGTGGAAGCTGGTGGACTGTAGCACACGGGAAGACGCTTATCCCTCTGAGGCTCTGGCGCACGTCTACTCATTCTTCCTCTCTCTATTTAAAAGGTCGCTAGTCGTGTAGAGGTGAGGGGTTTTAATCTTTTTTGATTCGCTTGCCTGTGTTTTCTGATGTAGCGGGGAGTGCTGGTGTTGTGTAGGAGGTTTTGGTTGATATGACAGCCCTTTTGGGAGGATGTCGATTGTTTAGTTTTGTTATGAAATTTGTATAAATAGTCTACTCACTCTTTGTTTTTACTTCCTCTTTTGTTTGAATAGGAGATTCCAGGCTTGTGGAATGTGAGATTTTGAGATGTGTTAAGTGTCGATTTGTCCGTTTGGTGGGTTTGTACGCTCTCGCTGCTAGTTCTCATGTATCTTGAGTAGGAATCCTGGCATAGGGTATTATGGTACCTGGCTGATATTGCACAGTTTGGCCTTTTCTCTCGCGTGCAATGCGCGAGAGAAGAGGGGTGTGTGTATGGTGATTGATTGTTGTGTGAGGTAGGATTGTGTGTATGTTTGATTATGTTTCTGGGCTTGTAGGTATTCCGCGCTACCTGTGATATCTGAGTTGCTGGTGATGTAGGTATTAGGGTGCATCAGATGTGAATCGGTTGCTGTGCCTGGCCTGTGATTTTCGCTTTATTGTGCTCTAGTTCACGGTGTGGGGAGAACAAATATCGCATCATTACTTCTTGACGTTGGTAAGCAGCTTCTGTAGTCTGAGGCGCTCTCGGTTATGCTCCACTTTGTTCTTGTTGTTTTTTTCTTAGCAGTCGGAGATACTTTGTCAAAGTTGGTCATCTTGAAAGGCTTGCTCCGAAGTGGGTGGTTTGGGTCTTTCGATTGGTGGGGTTATTACAGGATGATTTGTTTGGCCGAGGATGGGTATTGTCTAATGCTCAATGGGATAAGCATTCAATGCATCTTGGGTTGTTTTCTTTTTTTCTCTGTACATTTCTTTGGTTAATAAGATGGAGTCTGACATTTTTTAAATCAAGCCCAGGCGCATTGCCCATTTATCTCCTGTCCCCATTCGTCAGTTTAAATAATTTCACTGACTTCTTCTTTTTAGATTTTAAACTCAGATCTGTCGTTCGGCCATTTTTCTTTATTAAAAAGGCAGTGATACTGTATTGATTTTTTTTTCCACTGGGGAGAAAAAAACCCCAGGGTCAACTTGAAGATCTGGCTGGATTGACAGAATTTAACGTCTTGCTTAAAGGAGACTTGAACGCACTGGCCTTTTTAAGACACAGAAGCATTAAAGCCAGCTCGCCAGCAGCCAGACTAAGTAGTAGAGCTGTATGTTTACAGAGCAGAGATCGGCGCTGGGGTGTGACGGAAACTAATGATGTGTTAATAACGTCACAAGTATGTTCAGCCAGCAGTTCTGCGGGTTGCTAATGTCTCCTATGTTACTTGTCGTGTCCTGACTTCCATGTTAATAATGCTGATCTTATTACTCTGGTTAGCTCCTCTCAACCACCCACAGATAACCAGCTTGAGCTTGTCGGTTCAGTAGTGTTTAAGCAGCAATGTGAGTTGCTCGTGTCTGCGCTGCGCCTCAAAAAGCTGTGTGTTTGGTGTGGAGTTAACAGTAAGGAGTAGGAGGAGATAGTCTTTTTGTTTGTAATCAAGAGTTTACTGAGTAATGCAAACAGCAATGAAAATGCCCCGTGGATGAGTATCAACGGTTTATGGTGTGTGTTGTTAAGTATGGGACCGAGTAAGGTTTGTGGTTGGTTAAGCTTGTTGGCTGTAGCATGAATGAGCATAGTTAAAGACTGGACGCAGGGTGAATGACAACTTATGTGCGGTGTCTGCTGTCCGCTCAGATCGGAAAATATAGTACAGCGCGCCCATCTGTGAGGGTGTCTGAACTTTGTGTAGTTATGCTATATATCACGTTTGTTTAATCTGTGCCGCTACTTTATTTCCTAACTGAACAGCAGTGTATTCACTGCCCAAGCACTTCTGTGCGGCATCCCTGGCTTATTAGTGCAGGACGCTTAGAGAACAGGTTTCGGATCTCTTTACAGGCACGGTATTGGTACCCAATCAACAACCGCACCGGCAAGGCGAGACTTCAAAATAACTGGGAACAACGTACAGTGCACCAACTGTTGTTCGACAAGAAATAGTTCCAGCACAAACCTCCCTAAAGCCACAACTGTCATTTGTCAAACAAGATCAACGTGTTATTAAGTGAGCTTTAGAAGGTGTTTTGGGTGTATTTATTGGTAGTTGTGGACTGACTCAGGTTTGTTATAATGGTTCTTTGTCAGCTCTTGTGGGAAGTCCAACAAACTGGACACCTGGTGAGGTCATAGTGATGTCATCGTGGTTATCTCAGCTTGACGTAAATTCATTAACAGGAAAACTGGAACATGCTGGAGTGTAAAGATTAAAAGACGTCGCCCCAGGCAGCAAACGATCAGATGAAAGAAGATAGATTGCATTTATGGGAAGTGTAGGAGCTTGTGGTTTCGGGATTTGCTTAACCAACACCAGGACAAAAAAAAAGCAAGATATCCAGACCTCTTTTGATTTTTATCATTCTTATTCAAATCTGTCTTTCGCAAGTCCCCCAACGTTCCATGGCCAAAACAACAGCCACTTTATTCTATTATCTGGGCTTTTGATGAGCGACAGGTTATCACCTCTGCTCTCCTTTCCCTGAATATTAATGTTTTATTTCAAGAAGGTGTATTTAATTCTTTTATGAATGTTTAGTGGAGGGGGGTCTTTTGTTTTCAGGGTTGATAAAACCCTGACGGAAAAAAA